ACTCATGTGCGAAATAGTATTAAATAATATTATATAAGTTAGCAATGTAAATAGTTATCAATAATGGCATGGTGACTATAGCGGGGAGAAAAGAGGAAAGTAGTAAAATACAAATTGGACGGTAAAATTTTCTTTATGACATACTGAATATCCCTTATAACTCTAAAAAAATTTTTGGAAATAAAATAAGTATTTGTTCTATTATGACGCTGAGGAACTTTGAGTTTGCTCAGTTACTTATATTAAACTAAATTTATGTATTTTTATCTATATAATCAATATTTAAAATAATTGTATATACGCATAATGCATAATACTAACTTAAATTATAAACGAGTCAATTACAAAAAAAAAAAATTACTACGTAAATATATAGGTTGTTCTTTTTTACTACCGCAAAGCTAATTTAAATGTATGATAAGAAATTTATTATTTGATTATCTTTCATTTGAATATGTAACTTATTCAAGTTACAATATAGAATAAGACAAAATAACTTTAAATAATATAAATATTAGGTATCTTTAATTTTTTACGTGCGAAATAAATGTATGAAGTACATTTTTTGTATAAAATATAAATTTTTTTTTTATAAAAATAGAATTAGACATGTGAGTACATATGAAAAATAAAATTGTATTTACTTTATCTTGTTGGTAAAATAATCCTATAATATTTTTTAATTTCAACTTATAATACATTCTTTGTGAAATCACTATAAATTATATCATTAATATAGTAAATAAACTTAAATTTTTTGTTTCTATCTAATAAATCTAATTTTGTCTAGTATAATATATATGAATTTATTCAACTTACGATTTCATACATCTTTTCATAATTATTTTATATTTTAGATTTTTAAAATCATAATAAAATAATTTTTTAATTTATTAAAAAATTTTTTTTACATATTTATTAATATATTTATTATATAGATTAATTATATTTTAAAGTTTATATATAAAAAATGTATCTTATCGTCAAATATAAAAATAACCATAAATCTGTAAAAAAAATTAATAAATTCATATAATTAAATATAATATATATATATATATATATATATATAAATAAATTCAAATAAAATCATAAATGATCATCAGTACCTATAAATTACTTTATAATTAAGTATATTTGAATTTTATATATCAAAAATAATCTCATAACTTACGTTTAAACACAAACGACACAGTTGCCATTGAGTGTTTTTTTGTATTATTATATACAAAAAAGATATAATATTATTTTATTATCAGTAGAGATAAATGAACTTTTCAATCTTAAAAATTAATTCAAATGAAAATAAGATATTTCATCAATTCTAACAAGTTTTAATTTAAATATGTACACAAAATGGTAATTTAAATATAAATATATTTAAAAATTTTACTTCTTTCATTATTTATAATATTCGTATACTTTTAGAAGAATTTTGCACCAAAAATGTTTTAAATATTTATTTTGAGAATGTAAGTATTCGGAGTAAATTTATATAATATACTTTTCAATTGAAATCCCAAATTCTATAAACTTGAATTAACTCTGAATTTGAAATAGTTTTATACAAATAAGGATTTAAATTTTGTTAAATAATATTCAATTAAAGTAATCATTATATTTGTGAAATCCATAACATGCAATTAAGGAAATTATGTCCTACTACACAATTTCAAAATATATTTAGCTATTAACGAAACAATTGTTTTTTTATAAATATTTATATTGACTATTTAAATTTTTATTACAAATTCAAAATTTATAAATTTAATAGAAATAAAAGTGTATCATATTGTTTTTAATTAAACTATAAATATTCTTTTAAATAAATTATAAATTTAAATTAATTATGTTGTTATTAATATAAGAAAAATTTTAAATACTTAAATAGTTTAAAAGGTACAAATACATTTTTTTTTTAATTTTTATTTTCTATAATTAAGTACAATTAATAAAGTTACTCAAAATTTGAAAAAAAAAAATCAAAATATAACTAATAGAATATAAAATGTATAATTACAAGAATAAGAAAAGTTGTAAAGAGTAATTAGATTGATGTCCAATTTATATTGTATATCAGTCAATATTTAATGTATGCGTGTCACAAATCCGTTTTACTAAAATTTATATAAACATGAATTTAATGCTGGTTATTAAATCACATATAATTAAATCGCATAATATTTCAAATACAACATTAAAGAAAAAAACTGATTCCCGCTTAACATTAAGTTACTAATGAAATTAAGGTTCACTCAGACCTAAATGATATTACTTAAAGTACAATTATAGTTAAAAATAAAAATAAAAAGAGCATATTTTCCTTAATAAGGTACTTTTAATAACTTATTTTTTACTTCAAACTCTAATCAACTCAAGATCATTTTAAAATTATTAGATTGTTTTAGATCTCTTTGATATAATAATTAGATTTTGTTTTACATTAGTTCTGACATATATGTCGTCATACAGATTTACTATGGGCATATTTATGATTCGAGGGCGTGCGTGTGTGCGTATGCATATGAATCATGCGTATGAATGCATGTCAATGTATGAATGCTATAATATTATTGTAGCAAGTACATGCATTCATTCATTTATGATATATACATACATACATACATACATACATTCATCAAGCTCATTTTAAATTCTATTATGAATAGCGGACATCCGGAACTGTCGAAATTACTGTTGCATATCAATTGTTATATTAAATAAAATTTAAAAAGTCATAAAACGTAAGAATAAGTATTATAAATATATAGAGCTAAAAAAATGAAGCTTAATATTGAGAGCGCTTCGGTTATTATTAAACTTTCAACATTTAGACGGTTATTGTTTAATCTTATAAAATTCAATGGCGATATTTCGCAGCTATATTAATCATATGACCTTTTCCGAATATTTATATATACCCCCCCCCCTCGTATGTAAAATCACAAATATTAGATAATTTTTTCTATTTTTCTATTTTGTATCTTATATGTATAATTTTGTATGTTTTAAATTATAAAATTAACTATATTACTCTTGTAAAATTTATGATCACGATTGTTTCATTTAAAATAATTGATATTCGTAATGAATCGCATTGTTTTCCAATTGATAAATATTATTTCTTAATATAGCTTTTACTCGCAGCTATTCTTCCTGTACTAACAGTATCTAAAGTCTTTTACATTTTTCCTTTTTAAGTAAGTATTTATTACATTTAACACATAACATTTCAAATCACAAATAATATTGAAAAAGCAAATGTTTATGTTATTAATCAAGTAATTATTTTTTATTTGATATTATAACATTTTTTTTTAGTTAAATTAATAATAGATTAAATAATGTATATAAAACAATTTCTTTTTAATCAAATTTAATTTTAATACAATTAAAATGTAATCAAATAATTATATTCTTATGCATTTTATATTATTAGAAAAAGACAATATCAATATGTTTCATAATTCAATTAAAAGATAATAAGTAAGATTTCGTCTTTTAAAACGTATAAATCGAATTCTTAAATATCTGTTTACATTGTGATATTAATATAGTATAAGCTATCATTTTATAAATTAATTAAATCACTCAAATTTGTAAAATAAAAATTTATGTAAAATTTTTTATTCTTCAAAGCATGTATTTAAATAATTTTTTCTTATTATTAAATATAAATTTATAAGAAAATCTATCAAATTAAAATAAATTGATATATTTACAAATAATTTTGTTCGCTTCCAATCTTATCTTAAATAGTAAATTTAGTTTCTTGAAAAATTAGTTTAATTTAATTAAATATTGTATACAATAGAATAATTAGAATATTTTACATTATAAGGATAAGATTAAAAAGATTATAAACATAAGATACATTAGTGTATAAATACTAACAAATATGATATAGAATTTTATAATATAATTTATGTTCAACTATTAAATATAATTTTTCACTTTGTCTTTATAATATTCTTATTGTATTATAGAACTATTCTGCACACATTACTTCAGTTTATATGTATGTATTTATATTTATATATAAATTTATAAATTATAAATTTATATTTATATAATTTAAATGAAATTTAATTCTATATGGAATATCATTTTCAGCATAATTTTATTTTTATGACTCTTAATAAAAATTGAAAAATGATATGATTCATAAAACTAATCAATTGACGATAAAATAACCTCTCATTTTCATTAATTTATAGATATAAGTTAATTATATTAATGTGAAATATAGATTTATGTAATATAAAAATTTTGATAATAGAACTGATAAATGAATTAAACTGTCGAAAATGAAAAAATATCAGGATAATGCACTTGATATAATGAATCATACTATTTAAAAGAATCAGTTTTCAGATGAAATGAATATCTGTTATAAAATTTATTTAATTGGTTTGGTAAAGATGCTTTGATAACAAATATTTAATAATAAGGACTTAAAATTACTTCTTATATTCTGAATTACTACATAGAAGTGCTTGAGAGTATTTTCCTTCTTAGAAACTAATTAGTAAAAATCGGTTGGTATAATTTATATAAAATAGGATAAGTTAAAATTTTCCAATTGTGTTTATATTGATTAAGCCTGTAAGAAAGAAATAGAAATCATTCAATTTTTTGTTAAACGATATAATATATAATATACGTGGAATCATTCATTTCACTATTTTTATTATATTACTAAGTTAAAATATTTTCTTAATTAAAGTTTAGTTATTAAATTAAATAAAATGTAAATTATATAAATTATATAAAATACAAATATCCTATTATATAGTTTATGCAGCTACAGAATTGGATAGGAAAACATATAATAGTAATATGTAATATAAAAATCATAAAACTAAAAATTTTTTATAACAAAATACATTAGATAGTTAATAATTGAATATCAAATTAGAAACTTCATAAGCGCTTTTAATAAACTAATAATACAATAACACATAATAAAATATTAAATTAAAAATCATTTAGAATCTTACCTTGGCATAGTCAACTTTCAATGTGCAGCAGCCTGAATATATATCTGCACCGTGAAGTGCTTCTTTTGCTCTTGTAGCAGACTCCACCGAGTCAAATGTAATTTCATAAAATACAGTTAAGGATTATTTGTTTTAAATTATTACAAACTAACGTAAATATTGAAAATTCTGAAATAAATTATTAAATTGTCAAAAAATTCACTACGCCTTATGACATATTCTATTATTACTATTTGTGTTCTATAATTATCATCAAAAATATTATATAAATGTAGTTATATTGAAAACATTCTGTATGCGTACATACGTACAAGTTACATACATAAAAAAATTATTTTAATTATTTATGGATTTTAAAGTATTCTTTTGTAATAAAAATTAATGAAATCTAAAAATCTAATATACTAGGAATAATAATAAATTTATACAAATGAATAAATATATATTATATAATTGTTTGAAAAAGGATATTCTATCATAGCTTGTACTCCGTTCTTCTTAAAGATAACGATACGTTGTACCTCGCCACTTTGATGGCTAATAGCATGTAAAACTTCCTGCAACAAAAAATGATCATATTTAAGGGTATTATCGCTTAAGATTTTCATAATTTGTTTTTGTAAATAAATGGATTAAGATTACTTAAAAAATTACAAATCCAGTATTTTTCAAATTTTTTCAAATTATTCTTTCCGCTAAAATTAAACTTAGTATATTAAATTTTTCGAGCAGATATTTTTCTTATTATACTATATATTATATGTTATTCATTCTTCATCCATACAGCATTAATTGCTATCCATATTTTGATTATTTGATTAATTAATTAGAACATAACTATTAGACATTTGTTTTCCAAGTGTCATTATCGATCACTTTTAAATTTTAATTTACTAATAAGACTAATTAATGAAAAAAATATACATGTAATATATACATTTTCTCAATTTTATTAACAAAGACATTATATTTGGAACAAGCCTCTTAAATAATATTGAAGTTAGTTTTCACATAGAAGCTTCCTAAAAGAATAATATTTTATCAATCGACTACATTATATATATTGCCCTGTAGCTGCTTAGTGCGATGCCAAGGTGAATTTCTAGAAATTCAGTTACCAGTACAAGCATTGACACGACTCGTGGCATTAGGCCAAAAGCACTTTTAGACTATGTTTTATTCTCTAGCTCATTGACTGATTGACTGTTTGTCCAGTTCAAACAAATTCATCAACTGCTTTGGCTGGCTTTTTGATTTTGCAACATCATTAATTTACACATATTGCAAATTCGACAATCACAATAATTATAACAATCATAAATTTATTTATAAAATTAATATTTAGTCCAGAAAAAATTAACATTGGAAGATTACTTAATATTTCTAAACAAACTATCATTAATTTTAAATAGATAATAATGCTATTAATATGGTTAAATTTAATTATTTATTATTGTAATATAATTACTACAAGAACAATAAATATTTATATGGTTCATCTTATATCCAATGTATTCGATTCAAACTGTGAAGGTTACATTAGTGAAAATTTGCAAAAATAAAAGATATATTTAATAATGCAGTTTTATTATATCGAATAACTTTTATTGTTACGATTAATATATACGGCATTAAATACGTATAATAAAAATAATATAGTTTTCTTTTAAATAAATTTTTGATAAATTTGGGAAAAAATAATGATACACGAGTTAATGTAAAACGTTTTTAGAAATATTTTTAAAAATTTCATTTCAATTTATTAATTACTAACTAAAACAAAAAAAACTCAAAATAAAATTCACTGACGCGTTTTAAAAAATGTATTTAAAATATTCATTCCTGTAAATAATAAACGTATAAAGATAAAAGTGATTTTTTAGACAAAAATTTATCTAAACATAACTTTACAGAATAGCTTAGCTAAAGTTATCAATTAAAAAACACTATAAAATATGGTAAATAATATTTTATAGTTTTAAAAGTTTATTTTTAAAATATTGTTTTAATAAAATGAACAAAATTTTAAAAAATCTATATAAGAAAATCGAGATTTGGTCAAATTAGAGGTTAAACTTTGAGCAAAACGCACGTACTTGAAAATTCGATAATAATGTTTTTATTTTTATTATTATATCGAAATAAATTTTGTATTCACTAATTAATTATCGAACACTTCAATACAACGTTTGAAAATATCGAAGGTACGGTCGCGATTCCAATATTTATAAGCCTACGTTTCACTTCATTCATATGAATAAAAATTTTTAAAAATTGAAACCAATAATACTGACTAGTTTCATAATTTTCATATTTTGGTTTAATTATTATTTGGAATAATTAAATATTATTAACTACACAATTATACTTTTACTACTTGTAAATTATAGAGTATTATATCCAAACTATTATGATCTTTTCTTTTATTAAAACAATGTTTTTTTTTTATTTTAAAAAATTTTCTTATACCATATATGTTATATACAAAAATTAATCGTACGCTTCATTTAGAATAATAATTATTAAATATTTTAGTCTTGTTATATGGTTGACAGTAAAAAACAAATATTTATATTCAGAGTTATCGTTAAAACAGTTAAAATTTACAGTTGATAATTTTTTACATACAATACTAGATAAATTATACTTATCACAAAATATATAAACTAATTAAGTAAATATTAATACAATATAATATATTGTATTAATAGTTGATTTATATGATATATATATATATATGTATATATATATGATTATTCTTTCTCTTATCTTCTTACACGCATCTACATGAAAACAATTTAGTTTTTTTTTTACTCTTTTTTTTACTTATTAATAATTCAACTCTTTTGTACTTCATTGCTTGTTTTTGATGAAAAAGATATATTGTAATTTAATTATTATATGAATAACTCTAAGGATAACAATTAGTTTCATTGTGTAATTTTAAAAATCAAAATTGTAACGTAGCTTAAGATAGTCTCAAGTGATTATAATTGGCTCTAGAAATTTTATTTCAATATAATTTTTAACATAACATGTAAATGTATTCTTTGAAGGTAAACGACCTTCATCTCGAGAATTCAATCAATTAATTAGGTGCGAATTGAGCTACACAATACTGTTTAATGAAGTATATTAGTGTAGGTATCCTACTCAATGGTCAGCTCTTCAATGAATAAAAACTTATTTTATTATTAAAATTATAATATATGAGCCATATAATCTAAATTATAATACTTTTTTTATAATCGATGGTCGAAAATAAAACAATAAAAAATCATAATAAATACTATATATATTTTTTAAATATATTAAAATAATGAAATATATCCAGAAGAAATATATTGATTAGAAACCTACGATTTCTTCAAGTTAAAAAACAAAAAGCTTCAATTTTTAATACTATAATGCCCATAAAGAATTAAAAATGTAATAATAAATATTTACATACTAGTCTATTGTCATTGTAGTAATATTAACAACACAAAAAAACATATCTATATTAGAAATTTTTATTTTTATTTTACATAGATAAAATATAATTGATAATATATTTAAATAAAATATATAATTGAGTATTATAAGAAATGGAAGACATTCTTAAATTATATTTGAAAAATTTTATCTCAAATTAAATAATATTAATTGTAAAGAAAAGACACAATAGTAATTATAAATAATATGAAATAATTTTAAATCAGTGATAGTTTTAAAAGTTCTTTTCATTATGTAATATTATTAAACTTAAATATTATTACATTATCATAAATATTTACATATTAGAAATATAGAAAGAATTGAATTGAATTACGATTTCAAATTCTTCATTGTGCATAATAATAATTAAAAAGTTGACTAAACTTAATATTCTGGAATCGCATTTGCATAATATAATTATTACTGGATTAAATTGTATTTTTTTGACAATAAATAAAAGTTATTGGTTTATATTTCATAAAAATAAAATATAAACCATTTTAATCATTCAAAATTTTTTAATCAAAGTTAGCTTTTCGAAAAATTAAATCAGAAAATTATAAAAATTTTGTTAAAAACTATTGAAGTAAAAAAAACATGAAAAAATAAAAAAAGGATAAAAATTTTAATTCCATTAATGAAAAGCATCATAAAATAACTTTATTATAATTAATTTTTTTCGATACATTTGAATTCATCAATCAAAGTATGTATTTTTTTCTTACATAATTTCTTACGTTAATATGCTATACCTTCAGTAATGATAGAAAATATATTATTGAATTGTTGTACAACAACCTTAAACAGTCAATTAGAATTTATATAGGTTATTTATAGTAGAAGATAAGATTTAATATTAAAAAACTAATTAAGACAATAACAGGTTATTGTGAATTTAATATATGTTGACATTAATATTGACAAATTTTTTTTAACAATGGTGATATAAAAATCTAAGAATTTAATGAATCACGTTGATATTGTTATATTATACATACAATCACACTTATATCCTCATAATTCAATTGTATATAAATCTAAATTATTATATTATTGTATTATTATTAATCTCCTAGAATATTATTATATAATATCGCGTTTATATTTTACATTTTTTTCTAAATTAATGGTTTTTTTTTAGTTTAATAATCTGTGTAACAAAAACACAAATTGTAAGGTGGTGAGGCTACTAATTCTTGGGAGTTGGTTAATAGGTTTTGAGCCTTTATCAATTATTTGTTTTGAAATATCAATTTTAAAAAATTTTGCAAAAGAAATATTTTATCCATTTTACCAATCTATTTTTCATTTTGAATGAAAAGATTTTTCTTTATAATTTTCCAAAAATGTCCTTTACAGGGTATGATTTTAATTATTACCAACAAACTTTTAATTGTTGATGCATAATGCATGAATCAATTATATGAATTCCTTAAAAGACATTATTAATAGAAGTATAATATTATGGTGTTAAATTATCCAATTAATCTTACCCGCGGATAAATCAATAATTTGATTTGTCTAAAACAACCATTACACCTATCTAATTAATCTATTGCTCTAACATTCAATGTTCTATAATGAATAAGTGTCAATATTCAGTCCGTATCAATAAGTAAATTTCTGATTTATAGGTTGATGCATCTTTATAATGTACTTAATTGTACAAAATAATCTGGTCTAAATTGCATCGATTTAATGAAGTTAATCGGTGAGTGTATATCTGAAACAACTTAAGATCACTAAAATAGGATATATCCAACAAACTTTATCGGCCTGATTACCCTAGTTAATCTGGTCGCATCAGTTGATAATATCGTAAACTTTTTTTCTAGGTTATCTCATATATCATCGAGTTCAGTTTTAATGCTTGTACCACCAAGAATAACTAATTTTGTAAAAAAAGTTACAAAAATGATGAAATATTGATATAATTACTCATTAGTTCCATTATTCTTTGCTTTAACAAGCATTCCATATACAACATCGAAATAAATTATTCTTATATATAAATCTGTATCTCTTATACGTCTTGCTATAGCACGGATTTTTTTATATCTATTCCTTTCTATTCTCTGGCTTAGAGATATTTAGGTACAACGTAATTAACTTTTTCATTTAACAGTTCTACGACCTCAATAATGCACGCAATATACATCACCAAGGATGGTATTGTCTATTTGAATATAAAATATTAAAATTTTAATGATAAAGAATTAAATTCAATGGTAAAATTTAATGATAAAATAATAAGAATTATTTAAAATTGAAATAAATAAATAAATTGTTTCACACTATTATTACGAATAAAAGCTTAATAAATGTAATATATGAATTTGTGGACTAAGTACAATATTACAAGCTAAGTTAAGGATGTAATATAAAATAGAAATTAAATAAAGCAATCAACATACCGCAGAATACTCTCATATTTATGTGCTCGTTTCATATGTTGATCATTTTAATTATTTTATCCGTGTACTTTATAATCCGAATAAAAAAATGATATTTTGTTCATTCCCTCTATCATATTGATCCTTCAAAGGTATTTTGTTTATTGTTTCTGCGGTATGCATACACAAAATAAGCTCGCTAATATAATAAGTCTTTCTTATATATTATTTCAAACAATGTCTATGTACTTTTCTACCAAAAATTGATATCATTTACTTCAAAATTAAAATATATTTATTTTTTATTTTTTTATGAATTATAATATTCTACAAATAAATGGTTATAAAATTAAAAAATATACTTTAAAAGTGATAAGATTTTAGAATTTCAAGTATCAAATTATACGTACATCCCACATTGATTTAAGTAATAAAGCTTTGAAACTTTTAATGTTACATTTGTGTAACTTTTTATTATATAGCTGATATTATATTATAAGCAGTTTTTAAAATCATTAAAACGTGTATGAATTTTATTTATCATTAATTCATTGTTCATTATTAATTATTATTTTATTTCATAGTTCTTAAAATAATTATTATTGGACAAATTTAAAAATGAAATACCACAAATTTTTAACAAAATTATAAATTATGCATTTGAATTAAACAGAATTTGTCATCTACTTTAAATTGTAAAGTATATACAATAAAAACATGGAATTATTTATGAAAAGGATGAAAAAACATATACATTGTCTGGACAATATTGTGTGGATTTGTAAACGCATGAGTGAAATAAGCACAAATTATTCAATGAAGTGATTGTTCTGCAACACTTTTAAAGCACATATAACGAAGGACAATAACTAGACAGGAAGAAACCAATAAAAATTGCTTGAATAAGAGACTTTCAGATTCATTTGCTAATATATCTACATAATACTATATACATCTATATAATTTTCATTTAATATTTTCTTGTTTTTTTTTTATCAGTTTTTTGTAAATAAAATATTTATTTTACTCTTGAAGGATGGTATTGCAAACTGCGCAGATTTAAAATGAAAACTTTAATATTATGCTCAAATGAATGTGACACCTTAAAATTAAACAATTAATAAACAAATAAGGCATTTTAATAATTATTATTTATTATTATTATGAATAATAGTACGGGATTAATATAGTCAAGAAATTCTGTTTAAAAATTCCGACAAGAAGCTTGATATATATATATATATATATAAAGCTTGATATATGTATATAAAGCAAATGATCGCTCATTAATACACGATGAAATTTCGAAAATATAATATAATTTTATTATAAATTAGTGTACCTATGGATTATTAATGATATAAACATAGTATTTTGTTTCACAAATTATTGAAAATTTAACATCATGTTAATATGTATATTATTCTAAAAGCTCTCAGCTTTATTTTGTATATGCGATTAATGGTTTAGGTATTTATTGAATGTTTAATAATGTATTTTTAAATTGTATATCAATCAGAAAGATCAGTATGACAAATATAAATTAAAAATTAATTTCTCTAAAGTTTGAAATTTTCAGCTATTGTAATATTTGGTTTTCATTTTAAATGCAGGTATACATTTACAGAAAATACGGTTCCAATTATTAAAATACTATTATAATGATATTAAAATTATTTAAGATGAAATTGAAAGTCTTTACTATTCTATTAATCATTAAAAAGAATATATTATTATTTTGTTCGAGTTTATTTTAAACACAAAAATGACAAAATAAACCGATATAAATATAAATATTTTTTTACTGATTTTTATTGCAATTATTTACTTTAGAAAAATGTAAAAAATCTGATATATTTTAGATTATTTGACGTAAAATTTTGTTTTTGAAAATTGGTTTCTAAATATACTGAATTTATTGTCTATTTCCCTTCGCTTGAATATGAGCTGAATTGAATATGAATTGAATTGGTTATTACTTAATAAAATAATAAATTATTCAGTACATTTCATCGATTCAATTCTGAAAAAGTTATAAATGTTAAGAATTTAATCATATTATTGTTTAAACACAACAATCTTGTAATACTTTGAGAGAATTGCGCATCAAAAAGTAAGTAACTTGAGAAATTAAATCGAAAGAATTTTAATTCAAAGCAAAAGTATAGAAGACAAATATGTAAAAAACATAAAATCTGAAGTTATATCATTTAAAAAGAAATTTAATTAAAAATTGAATTTTTGTATCAATGGAATCTTTTGTGAGCAATATTTTTGCATTTATTTTAGAAGACTATATTACTCCGCTAAAAACAATTTTTTTCTTGTTTGCAGTCAATGAATATTGTGACATTCCAGAGTGATACTTATTTTATAAATTAATAGGAACAGCTTGTAGGAATTAAAGTTCACATCATAGGGTTTAAGATTAAAAATTCGACTGGTATAGTGGATTAAGCAATTCAGTGAATACAAATAAGATCAGACAATCATTAATAATTCGACAATCTTGTATGTGTATGGACCAATTTAAAATTACACTTTCAAATACTAACAATACCGTCAAGATTTATAATTAAAAAAAGTGTATATTCTATAAATTACTTATTGTTACATATAAACGTATGTTCATATGTATATTTATATAAATTTATATTTATATATAATTTGATTCTAAAGAAAAATATTAAATTAAAACCCGTACATCGAAGTATGTTTTATTAATATCTTATCCACAGAATCCATAGACATTTAAAATTCTTATCATTTTCTTATTTTACAAAAATATTGAATTGCATAATTGAATAATTATTAATAATAGAATTTTTTATTATGAAAATTTATTTTCATTTTATTTTTTTACTAAAACGTTCGATTTTACATATTACATATTTAATGATACTATATATTGTATAATGTGGTATTATACAAGAAATAATACAAATATTTTAATTATTGAAACATAACAAATATATAATTTTATCATAATTTCAGTAAATCAATTAACATAATCTATTTCATATAATTTCTAAATATCCAATAAGAGAAAGGTTAAATTAATAAGTGATAAATAATAATGTACTTCATTATAGATGATTATTCTTACAAGTATGAAAATATTCAATATCTGTCAATATATATTTATTTATTGGTCGTATAAAATCATTGATATTCATTTTTTTTTTAATTTTATGGATTGTTAAATATGCTTGAAATATTATTGATCTTAATATTAACAATAAACGTTTTATTTTTATTAATGTTTTTTCAATTTCATTAACTAGTAATTACTTATTGTATCCAATTTTAACATTATAAAAAACAATATTTTTCTTAAAAATAACATATATTTTAGAACACTTCACTGCTCATATGAGCATGTAAATATTATTTTGACATCTCTATTTCGTCTTATTTTCGCAGTTTAATGTCATATGCAGGTTCTACTTACCACAGTAATTGGATACACTGGATTAATGACTGTTAAAAGTAGCACGTGATTGGGCTTATTATTGTCTTCCCTGAAAAATAATCACAATGTATATTAAATACAATCGAAAATTTATAATGTACTCTACTTTTCATAAAAATACATACAAATTAATTACAAAAAAAATATCTGGATTTATATAATATATATAAAAGCTCATGCTTCTTCTATTGATAAATATTTCAAGATAACTTTAGTTCGAGATATTTATTTTTATTCTACGTTTTTTTGAAAGTACTAAATATTATTATATTTTAATACTATTGCAAAGCTTGGCGAATTTTTCGAAACTTCCCTTTCATTATTCTATGATCTGTGAATCATGTCATTTTAAATATATGAATGCATGTTTTTAAAAGTAAAATACTTATCAAATAAACTTTTGAAGTTTTAATTGCTATGAATAAATAATTAGAACTTCTTTCTTCAATCTAATCCCTTAATTTAACCATAGCTTAAATTATACGATGAATAAAATTGATAATTTTTCAATTGGAATTCAATCAAAATAACGTAAAAATATAGATTTACGTTTCAAAATATCTACATCTGAAATTATTGAATTAAAAATAATGCTTACAAAATTTTTCGAAGAAAAATAAATTCATGTGTTAACTGGGTTTTTTGCAACGAAAGAATTTATAAAATGTTATAAAATATCAATATAATTAAATGAAAACCGATTAGACCAATTTATACAAATCCTTTCCTTGTTATATCAAAACCTATCTTTAAGTAAATTTTTTACTTATAATAATTTCAATAAAATATTACAAATAACTAAATTATTAAAATATCAAGGATATTGTATGTGTTTCATACACCTGAGATTAATGTAAAAATAAAGTTCTAGGCTTCGTTCAAGTACATAGCAATACTTTCTTTTTATCAAAGCAAATAGAATATTAATATAAAAATCGTGTACCTAATAATATATTTTTTATAAATTAAATATTATTCGTACCAATAAATTCTTATTAATTAACAATTACTACCTATGTATTATTTATTACTAACTTTTTAAATTTAAATAAACATAAAATTTACAAAAATAACATAGAATTTTAATATTAATTTTTTTTACTCGAAAAATGGTTTCACTATGAAAAAATAGGTTTGTGTGCAACGCATATTACATTCTCTAGTGTATAAAAAAAGATATATACTGTATATATTACTCGTACATCATCTTAGACTAAGATTTTATTTAAAATTACGTTTAAAAAATATTATATTTTTGTTGAAAAAAACAATAATATTCGTATTAAAAACAGAAAATTGTCCTATAGAACCATCAATCTCGAAGTATCGTGAAATTTTGTGTCATTTTATAGATTATCATCGTAGATTTAATACTTCATCAATGTAACATTCGATTATATTTAGGAATATCAATAATAAAATATAAAATAATTAATAATTGTATGAACCGAAATTATTTCCCGATACAGTATGAATTTAGCATTAATTATTGCATGAAATATATTCTATATACATTTATTTATTCTATATACTTTATTTTTTGCAAACATGTTTCATAAATATGTATTTTTCTTTTTTTATTATAGTAAATGTTACACAAATAATTATAAGTTATTTACAATATATATTCTATGTTATAAATACAAAAATCTTATTTAAAAATACAAATAATATGAGAATTTTTTAAATATAACGAAAATAAATGATTTTCATTTTTATGAAAAATTTTGAATACTTTATGAACCAAAATCAATTTACAGAATTATATATCAATTAAATTATTTAATATACAATTTAAAATTATGAACTGCTTATTTTGAAAATATTTAATTTTGTAATAATTAGAGTTTTTATTGACTGCAGTCATATAAGTTCAATTTATTGTAATAATTTCACAATAAGAAATTGTAAAAAGTAAAGACAATAAATTTGATTCATTATGGTTTTATTGAAATTATCACTAACATTTTATATGTATCATTATATATTTCCTTATTGAAGTTTAATTATGCAAAGCCTGAGCAATGTATTTTATCAAAAATATTTCTGTTAAATTATGATAACGTAATTGAAACTAAATAAAGTAATTTATAATAAAATTAACTGTATTTAACTAGTATTTTTAAAAAACTTTTATAAAAAAAAACAAATTTAGTATAAATTTACATATTCCTCATCAATAAATAGCATAGCATACAGAAAAAACAACCAAAATTAGTAATAACGTCAATAAATAGTAAAAATTCCAGATGAAGGAATGCAAAAGATTGTGATATGCAACTAGTCGGAAAATAGAATGTGAAATTACTAAAAGACGTAGTAAGTTTAAGCAAAGCCGGCAAATGCACTCAATAAGATAAGAGGATAAAGAAGAACTCGAAAGAATAATAGAAAGAAATTAATTAAATCGCAGTCTGTAGACCACAGTTACGCTGAAGTTCAAAAGTACGCAGGTACTTTGGCCAAGTCTAATAATAAAAGTTAAGCTAAGCGTTGAGTGCATACGAAATTTAGGACGGCGATGAGCAAGACAAGGAAGAGAACTACGAGAACGACGATGAGATATATCTGTCTTCATCTTTCTGCCTTGTCATTGTTCTACTCGCCTTCCCCATCCCCAGAGATCATTCCCTCTTTAAATGTGAACCTTACACGTCCAAAACTTTCATATTATCTGCTTCATGTGATTGGAGATTTTATTTTATAAGGTCTTACCTTTTACGTCGAGGTTCATCTCCATATCCGCTATACTCGTGATTCTGAAACAACAAAGGCTTTGTATTAATACAGAGTCTTTTAAGAGTATTTATTTTGAGTTATATTCATACGCTAAATTAATAATCTTGACAAAATAAACACTATAAGAGAACGATAAATATGAGTAACCTAGAATGGAACTAAGACAGATTTTCTAAAATATATAGTTATTTTATAAGTTCATTGCTTATGTTAGTTCACAGAACAGACATATTTTATCTTAAATTTATCAAAACCAATTATTATCTCTACTGCTCTCATCAATCATAATATATTCTTGAGTAACTATCAATTTTAATAATTATCAAGACAATTTAACGTATATTATTCCTGTAGCTTTTCATAATACATGATAAATAAATTAATTGATGTTAGTTATGGAATAAGCAAAACAGATGACAAGTGAAACAATCACTTAATTGCATTTGTAAATTAGTTCATAAATACAAACGAATATTGTTTCTAAAATAAATCATACAAAATTATTTGAATAAATTCTTAAATCTTTTAGTTTCGTTTACATAAAAATTATATTTTATCATAAAAAATTAATATATAAATATATAATGTAGTCAAAATTTAAAACACATGCGACCAAAGAACTCTTACAATTAAAAACAGAATGTAAACAAATTTAAAACGTAATCATTTTTCAAAATCAATAATCACTTAAAATACAATGCACTTCGGTATTTTTCATCTGTATAAAATTTATATTAATTATACTAAAATAATAATGATTACTTTAAAAAAATAAAATAAAATAAAATATGATAAATATAATTATCTGAAAACAGATTTAAAAGTATGTATATTTACGAATATTATTAAAGCACCAAATTCAATGTATATAGTAATTTTCTTTTTAAAAATATATATGCATTTTATATATTCTTTAATCGGTGATCTAGAATTTTTGATAGAATTGATAGAATCAAGATAAACTATAAAATGATGATCGAAAAATATCAAAATAAATTCAGAATCTAATACTATTCTCCTATTAAGTCTGAAGTTAGATTATGCAATGAAGGTAGTTGTTCGACTTAAGATTACTTAAGCCGGTAAAATGAACGATAAAGAAGGATGAAGTATTACGTATTAAGCAATAAGTATTAAAACGATCGATAAATAAAAACTAGAGGGAGAGAAAGAGAAAGAGAAGAATGTTGACCCATCAAAAACTATTAATAAAACATCTGCACGTTCGTACTTCAAGCTACTATGAATAGTGCAGTCATAAAAGGCCTTAGAGAGTTATCAAGTATAAAATTCAAAAATCTATAAATTCCTTACTATTTCTACCATACTTTTATTACATCACGTGTATATTTAGTAGCTACATATTTAGTAGCCAGTTTGTTAACATAAAATTAATTTTTTTATGCATTATATTTTTAAACGCACATTACATTGATTTATATTTATATTCATATTTTTAATTCATGATTATTTATCATATAATCGATATAATAAAATGTTGCTCTGTATATTTGATGAAATAAATTTTCAACGTTTCTTACCTCCATAATCAATTTATATAAAATAACTTTAAACCGAACCCAATTTAAATTTTTCAAGTTTAATTATATTATACAAAATAAATAATTGTTTTAATATATAGTAAATATTTTAAACTAAAAAAACTACAATATTATTCTGTAATCGTCTAATATTCCAAAAATATTAAAATTTTGATAATTGAAAATAAAAAAAGCGGTTTGCTATTAAGAACACGAATAACAAATACTTCTCATATAATAAATATAATTTAGCATAAGTATAGAAAAAAGCTGTTAATCGATTTAAAATAATTTAATTTTACATTATTATTCATAAGCTACAAAAGTAATAATATACGACAGTTAAAAACATTTGATTATAAAAGCTCATAACAGTATTGTTTTTAGTAATCAAAATAAACAAATATATTTATAATAATAATTGTATTCACAATGTTTTTGCATTATACAACTAATGAAATATAACTAAAATAAAAGTATCAATTCACAATACAATAAAATTAACATTTTATTGTAAAAAAAAATTTTCTAACACTTGGAATTTTTGTTATAAATGATATATTTGTGATAATTTTTTTGGCTATTTTATTGAAAACCATTTTAAAAATTAATTTATATTTTAAAATGATCCTATCTTTTAACTAGTAATAAGGATTATAGTAAGTTCTGAAATTTGATAAATACTATATAACCAAGAATAATGGCTAAATTGTTAATCATAATTGATTCAAAGTATCTCTTATCCTATTCATACAAAATTGGTATAAAATATTGTGTAATCAAGATACTTTTATTTAATATAAATTCATCAGTTCTATTTTTATCCTCCTTTATAATAATTATATCTAAATTTGGTGATCCAGGGACTCTTATTACTATTGCACATACATAGTTAATAACTTCAATTATAAAATAACAAATTATATTTTTACACGATTTTTTAATAAAAAAAAAGAAAGGTACTTATGTATTTGCCACATTTAAAAAATAAGAATATATATTGTTATTGCTTTAATAGTAAATAATGATATTTTTAACTAAAAGTTAAAGTACCTCCAGGATCAAGTTACTAATGAAACTATATAAAATAATTTATATTTTTGTGCATTTAGAATTATTTTATATTTATTTATCAAAATTCTTAAATCATTTAGTTAAGTCGTAAATTCTATTTATTTAGCAAAAATTTTTATTATCATTCAGAAATAGCTTTGAAGATTTTGCTTAAATTATTTTTTTACACTTTTTTATTTAATAAAATACTTCGAATTAAATTCCCAATCTGTGAGCAAATATTGTTAAATATTCTAATTATTGTGTAAAGTAAACAATAAAAAAAACATTGTTATCATCTTCATCAGGCAGTCCCTCCGAACTACTGATGCAGATAAATTAAAGATTTATTTTCTTGTTTAAAGAAATGGGTAATAGTTTCATACACAAATATCCAAAGAGAAAGAAAGAAGATCTAATGGCATCCAGCCAACTACGTGTTGATAAAGAAATGAACAAGGAAATAATGTTTATATTTGATTTCTCAATTTTCTTTAATATATCCGTAATAGTTTAAATTAGTCTCAGACAATTGATCTAAGAAATATAAATATTTTTGTGAATTCTTTTCACTCAATAGGTAATAACGTTCTTTTAAATAACACATATTCAAATGTGTATGTCAATGAATTGTATAATCTTTTATTATGGCTAATTTACGATAAATTTCGCTTCTTTAATCATTAAAAATTATATTTGACTAAATAAACTCGTAATATGTGCTCAAATTTAAACAATAATATGATAATAATTTAACATAATAACTATTATGTTATAATAATATATATAATAATTATATAATAATAAATTATTAATAAATTAAAAAAAAAAAATTATGTATACGATAAATTTTTTCATGATGCTTCAATTGTATCATTGTTGGTGTATATGGAAAATCTTTAAAAAATTAATATTGTTAGTATACATACTATTTATAGAAATTATGATTACATTATCAAATATAATTAAGTTTATATGAATATGTTAATCAAGTTCTTTTAACACTTTTAATTGTATTTCACACTTTTTATATATAAAATATTTGTTCTTCATATAACAAACAATAACTTCATCTAACTGGTTATGTTTTAGATTATAATTATGTTTTAGATTATTATAAATTAATGATTTTCTTTATATAATGTATAATTTCAATATTTAGTAACTTTATTAATTTAATACATTGTCTAAAGTAACATATTTTTACAAATTTATATTTTTATTTGGAAAATTTTTTTATTTTTTCTTAGCCATTTGTAGTTTATAATATATAATATAATTTTTTAATATTTTTGTATTGGCACTCGTATAAATTATAAGAAAACTTTGATTACTTTTTATTCAATTTATAATACTATTAATGTAATACAGAATGAGAAGATTCATACTATAAAAAGAACATTTAAATTTGTCAATATTTTGCTAATAATATTTAGATGCTTTTTTCAATTCAACAGAACATTTTAAATGATCTATCCTAATATTGCCTTTACATAATTACTTATCTAAAAGTAACTGTGTTTGTCAAATAGAAAATAATTTGTGTTATAGTTATGCTCATAATTCAAAGTAAATAAAATAATTTAAGTAAGTCAACTATTAAGCTCAGTGATGGAACACCTAGAAGAAATTAAGAAAGAAAAAATGAGAAAGACAGAACTACCTTTTTGACATTCGGGAATCATAAAGTTCCTAGGTAATGAGACTTATCAAGTACCCTAAGCCAAAATTAGAGCTTCTATTGTTTATACGATCCACTTAGTTGTACGGATTCCAATTGGATCATGGAATTGAGATGGCGACATACTCAATGCCTAGTTGAAGTCTGACGAAGCATAAATCGACGTAAGCAACGACAATACTGAAGCCACTTCGCGACGGATTATGCAAAAACAGCTAGCTTTTTTTTTCTCCTTCTTACCGTGTATTTAACTGTAACTATGTTGACAAGAAACTGCAACCCTCGCTAGCAGAAATAAAAAGTAAAGAAGCCATATCGGAACAAAGTTAAGACACTATATATTTCGCACAACCTATAATAAACTTGATTTCTCTCCAGTTTCATTTTATTTAGTTTTACATTACAATCATCGACCAAATTACGCTGCTTGAAAAACTGAACCGTTTTAATCTTTCCCGTGTCTTGTATTTATTTTCATTTTTCTAAGGTTCACCTAAATAATATTTAAACATGTTAGCCAAAAAATATATTGTAACTCCTTTTCCATTAATACAGTTTAAAGTTTAATGAATTAAAATAATTACAGTGGTGAACAAACAATATTCAAAATTATCAACTACTTATTATTAAATGTATTATTAAATGTATTATTATAGAATTATTATTTAATAAACATTCCTCTATGGTCATAAATAAAGCAAATTAAAAATTTTATTTAAATACAAAGTTTAGCTCATTATTAAAT